CTCCCCCTGAACCCCTGGCAGCCACTGGTCTTTTTACTGTCTCCATAGTTTTTACTTTTCCGGAATGTCACATAGTGGGAATCGTATGTATGTTGCTTTTTCAGACCGACTTCTTTCACTTAGCAATATGCAGTTAAGGCTTCTCCTGTCTTTTCATAGATTGATAGTTCATTTCTTTTTATCACTGAATAATACTCCATTGTATGTGTTAATCTCTGTTGACCTATTGTAGTACATCTTGGTTGTTTCCAAGTTTTGGCAATTATGAATAAAGTTTCTGTAGACATTTGTGTGTAGGTTTTTGAGTGGACATATAAATTTTCAACTCATCCAGGTTAATATCTAAGAACGTAATTACTGGATAGTATAGTAAGCCTATGTTTAGCTTTATAAGAAACTGCCAGACTGTCTTCCAAAGTGGCTGTATATGTACCATTTTCCATTCCCACCAGCGAAGAATGAGAATTCCTTTTGCTCCATATCCTTGTCAGCATTTGGTGTTATCAGAGTTTTGGATTTTAGTTATTCTAATAGGTGTGTAGTTGTATCTCATTGTTGTTTTAATTTGCTAGTCCATGATGACCTATTATGTTGAGCATCATTTCATATGCTTATTTGCCATCTACATATCTTCTTTGGTGAGCTGTGTTTAGATCTTTGTTCCATTTTTTAATTGGGTTGTTTTCTTTTTGTTGAGTTTTAAGAATTCTTTGTATATTTTGAATGCCAGTTCTTTATCAGCTCTGTGTTTTGTGAAGATTTTTTCCCAGTCTGTTCCTTGTCTTTTCATTATCTTTTGCAGAGAAGTTTTTAATTTTAATGAAATCCAACTTATCAATTTCCTCTTTCATGGATCTTGCTTCGGGTGTTATATCTTGAAAAGTCTTCTCCAAACCCAAAGTTGCCTAGAATTTCTCCTGTGTTATCTTCTAAGAGTTGAATAATTTTTTTATTTCACATTTAGGTCTGTGGTCCATTTTGAGTTAATTTTTGGAAAGGTTTAGTCTATATCTAGATTTCTTTCTCTTTTTTTTTGCACATGACTGTCCAGTGATTTCAAATGATTTCAGTATCATTAGGTGAAAAGACTACCCTTTCTCCACTGAATTGCTTTTGTTTCTTTGTCAAAGATCATTTGATTATATCTGTGTGGGTCTATTCCTGGGCGCTCTATTCTGTTTCATTGATCTATTTATCTGCTCTTTTACCCACATCACAGCTGTAGTTTTACATTAAGTGTTGACGTTGGGTACCGTCAGTCCTCTGACTTTGTTCCTCTCCTTCAATGTTGTGTTGGCTATTCTGGGTCTTTTGCCTTTATGTAAATGTTAGAATCAGTTTGTTGACATTAACAAAATATCTTGCTGGAATTTTTATTGGGATTTTAGGAAATCTATTGATCAACCTGGGAAAAACTGATGTCTTAATAATATTAAGTCTTCCTATCGACGAATATGGACTGCTTCTCCATTTATTTGGATCTTCTTTGATTTCTTTCATTGGAGTTTTGTAGTTTTCTTCATATAGATCTTGTATGTATTTTGTTAGATTTATACCTAAGTATTTAATTTTTTATGCTAATATATATATATATTTTTTTTTAAAGATGACTGGTAAGGGGATCTTAACCCTTGACTTGGTGTTGTCAGCACCACGCTCACCCAGTGAGCAAACCGGCCATCCCTATATGGGATCCGAACCCATGGCCTTGGCGTTATCAGCACCGTACTCTCCCGAGTGAGCCACAGGCCGGCCCTTTTTATGCTAATATAAAGCGTTATGTTTTTAATTTCAAATTACAGTGTTCATTGCTGTTACATAGGAAAATAACTGACTTTTATATACATTAAACCCGTATGCTGCAACCTTGCCATAATTGCTAATTAGTTCCAGAAGTTTTTGTTTGTTTGTTTTGGTTTGGGTTTTTTGGTCAATTCTTTGGAATTTTCTACATAGACAAACATACCATCTGCAAACAAAGCCAGTTTTATTTTTTCTTTCCTAGTCTGTATAGCCTTTTCTCCCTTTTCTTGTTTTACAGCATTAGCTAGGACTTCAAGTGCAACTGTGTTGAATGGGTGTGGTAAAAGGTGATGGTCTTGTATTGGTCTCAAACTTAGGAGGAAAACATCTAGTTTCTCACCATTAAGTATGATGTTAGCTGTAGGTTATTTGGTAGATATTCTTTACCAGTTGAGGAAGTTCCCCTCTATTCCTAGTTTGCTGAAAATTTTTATTGTGAATGGGTGTTGGATTTTGTCACATGCTTTTTGTCTATTGATATGATGATATGAATTTTCTTCTGTAGCCTGTTGATGTAATGAATTATATTAATTGCTTTTTGAATGTCAAACCAGCCTTGCATACCTGGAATAAATCCCATTTGGCTGTGGTGTATATTTCTGCTTATACATTGTTGGATTCGATTTGCTTGTATTTTGTGATGTCTTTGTCTGGTTTTCATGTTGAGGTGATGCCGTCTTCATAGAATGAGTTAGGACATGTTGCCTCTGCTTCTTATTTCTGGAAGAGATTTTTTTTTTTCCTTTTTGTCTTTTTTACTGACCGGTAACGGGATCGCAACCCTCAGTGTCGCGCCCGTACCGGGGACCGGCAATGGGATCGCAACCCTCGGTGTCGCGCCCACACCGTGCTCAGCCAGTGAGTGGGAACCGGTCTCCACATGGGATCCGAACCCTGGGCGGGAGCGCCGCCATGCTCCCAAGCAGCGCACTCTCCAGTGCGCCACCTGGCCGGCCCATGGAAGAGATTTTAATGAACTGATATTGCTGCTTATTTAAATATTTTGGTAGAATTCACCAGTAAACCACCTAGGCCTGGGATTTTTTTGTTTTGGGGTGTTATTAATTATCGATTTAATTTCTTAATACATATAGGCCTATTCATATTATGTATTTCTGCTAGTGTGAGTTTTGGTAGATTGTCTTTCAAGGAATTGGTCTGCTTCATCCAAGTTATCAAATTCGTGGGCATGGTGTTGTTTATAGTATTCTTTAAATGTCTATGGGATTAGTTGTGATGGGTCTTCTTTCATTCATCATATTAGCAATTTTTGTCTTACCCCTTTTTTTCTTAGTTAGCTTAGCTACAGTTTTATCAATTTCACTGAACTTTTCAAAGAACCAGTTGTTTTATTTTTGATGGCTGGCTGGTATGGGGATTCAAACCCTTGACCTAGGTGGTCAACATCATGCTTTTACCAACTGAGCTAACCAGCCAGCCCAGTTTTTACTTTCATTCATTTTCTCTATAGGATTTATTCTTTTTGGCATTCAGTAGCTTCTTGAATATGTAGATTTATTTCTTTTGCCTAATTAGCCAAGTTTTAAGCCATTATTTCTTCAAATACTTTTTTAGTGTTTCACTCTTTCTCCTTTTTTTCTGGTGATAACACAAAGGTTAGCTCTTTTGGTATAGTTCCACAAGTCCCTGAGGCCCTGTTTATTTATTTATTTATTTTCAGTCTATTTGTTGTTTAAATTGGGCAAAAAGTTTCTATTGTTCTATCTTTTCTTTATCTGATTTTTTTGCTGAGACTTTCTACATTTTCATTTGTTTCAAGCATATTCTTACTTGCTCTTGAAGCATTTTTATAATGGCTGCTTTCAGATTTTTGTCAAATAATTATGACATATCTACCATCTCAATGTTGGCATCTAATGATTGTCCTTTTTCATTTACTTTGACATCTTCCTGACTCTTAGCATGATGAGAGATTTTCAATTGAAATTTGGACGTTTTGGGTATTATGTTATGGGTCTCTGGATCTTATTTAAACCTTCTGTTTTAGTTGGCTTCCTTTGACTCTTCCCAGGTAGGGCAAGGAAAAGATGCCATGTCATTACCTCCAGATGAGTGTAGAAGTCCAGATTCCCCATGTAACCTCCATTGACACCTGAGTGGGAGGGAAAAGAGCTTGTTAATGCTGGCCAGGAGTGGGAGTTCTGGCTCCCCACTAGGCCTCCACTGATACCTTCTTAACTGGCAGGAGTACAAGTGCCTCGTTACTGCTTTCCACAAGGCTTCCACTGGTATCACATGGAGAAGGGCGGCCCGATAGTGCTGTGTAGTAGTGAAAATTCTGACTTTCCACTAAGCTTCCTCTGATACCCCATCAGGGAGGAAGAGAATTATCTTGTTACTGCCAGGTGAGTGGTAAAAGTCCAGTAGTGTCCGCTGATGCTACAAGGGGCTTGGCTGATTATTGCCTAGCAGGGATGAAAGCCCCAGGTTCGTACTTGGCCTTCTCTGATATGAGCAGGGAGGTAGATCTTTGAAAGAATGGAAATCTACGTTTTGTTTCTATGTATTGGCCTGTTCTAGATAGTTTATATAAATGGAGTTATACAGTATGTGGCCTTTTTAAACTAGCTTCTTTAACTTAGAATAATGTTTTCAATGTTTATCTATGTTGTAGCATGTGTCAGTACTTAACTTCCTTTTATTGCAAAATTATATTTGATTACATGGATATACCACATTTTATTTATCCACTCATCAGTTGATGGACATTTGGGTTGTTTATACTTTTTGGTTATTATAAATAATGCTGCTATAAACAATTGTTTTTGTGTGGACATGTTTTCAATTCTTTTGGCTATATACCCAGGAGTGGAATTGCTGGGTCATATGGTAACTCTATGTTTAACTTTTTGAGAATTCCATTTCTTTGTTATTGATAATTTTTTATCTTATTGTATTGTGATGTCAGGGAAGGGACATGAGATATTGTAGTGGCTTTTGGATCCTTAGGACTGTCCTCAGACTTAAGATTCATTTCTGTTCTTATTTTTTGCTTATTTCTATATTCTTTCCATTGAAATGATGGCCACTGATAATGAAGTTACTCATAAGATCCGTAGGTTTGATGAATATTAAAGTGCTTTAAACCATTATTTATTTTGAAACATTGTAGTGTTCAATTATTTATAGTCATGAGTTTTATATTCATTAATTTACCTGTGATTTTATCTATTTAGAAAAAAGAAAATGAATGCCTTCAGTTAAAAATTTTGGTGCTTCGAAATGAACTGGAAAGACAGAAGAAAGCTTTAGGACGGGAGGTTGCATTGTTGCATAAACAACAAATTGCATTACAGGACAAAGGTGAGTAGAAACACCACACAAATGGCCTAACCTCCACATTCAGTAGTTTTCCTTTCTGTTCTCCATAGGCTGAAATATCTTTGCATAAATATGCTGATAGAATTTTCTTTAATTTTTCAAGTATTTTTTAAAGTATTTTGAAGTCAGTATATACAGAAAAGTGTAAAAATCCATACATATGTGCAGCTTAAAATTTCAGTGTGAACAAGCCCATGTAAGCTGCATCTCAGTCAACAAATCGCATTACCAACACCCCAAAACCTCAGAAGCCTCCTCATGCCTCCTTCCACTTTACCACATATCCAGTCAGACCAACTACTACCCTGACTTATTAGACCAAATATTGATTTTGCCTAATTTTGAACTTATATAAATAGAATCATATATATGCATTTTGTGTGCTGGTTTTCGTTCAGCATTTTGTAGGTTAAGAGTCATCCTTAACTCTATGAAGTTGTGATTTGTTCATTCTTAATGCCAAATACCATTCCATTATATAAATATGAATTTATTTACTCTTGCTGTTGGTTTTGGTAATTTCCAGTTTGGGCCTATTAGGGTTAATGCTTTTATGAATGTTCTAATATGTGTTTCTTAATGAAGATTTTTATGTATTTCAGTTGGATAAAAATCTAGGAGTAGAATTACACACTCATAAGATGTACATATCTTCAGCTTTAGTAGATTGTTTCCAAAAGTTTTCCAAAATGATATGCCATTTTATCTCCCCTCCATCTGATAGTGCCCTTCTCCCACAGCTTTTTCTGCAGTTGTCTTTTTTACTTTTTCTTTTCTGGTGGTTATGTTGTAGTATCCCCTTGCAGTTTTAATTTTTATTTTCCTGAAGACTAATGAAAGTGAACATTGTTTCATGTTTCTTTGCTGAAATACACTCTTTGTGAAGTACCTCTTAAAGTCTTTTGCCCATTTTTTAAAAACTTTGGTTTGACTTTTTTTGGTAAGAGTTCTTTGTATATTATGGATATAGGTTCTTTGTTTAGCATGTGCATTAAAAATATATTCTCCCATTCTGTGGCTTGCTGTTTCACTCTTTAATGATACCTTTAAATGAACAGAAGTTCTGTTTGATCAGTCTTTTATATTTTAGGCATTTTGTGTCTAGTTTAAGAAATATGTGCCTACTTTAAGATCTTAAAGATATCCTTCTGGAGGGTTGCGATCCCCTTACCGGTCACGAAAAAGACAAAAAAAGATATTCTTCTATTTTTCTTTTAAACACTTTACTGTTTTACTTTTTACATTTATATTTGTAATTCATCTGGAACTGATTTTTGTTTATGATGTAAGGTAAGAGTAAAGATTTTTTTTTTCCATATAGATAGTTGACCCAGTACCATTAATTGAAGATCATCATCCTTTCTCCGTAGCACAGCAGTTTCACTTTTGTTTCACTTGTATCATAAATCAGATAACCATGTAGTTGTAAGTCTGTTAAGGACCCTCTGTTCTGTTCCATTGATCTATTTTTTATTCTTTTGCCATTATCTTACTGTTTCAGTTTTTCTCATGTTATAATAGGTCTTGATATCTGTTAAGGTTCCTTAGCTTAGTTGTTTTTCTTCAAGATTGCCTAGGTTATTTTTGTCCTTTTGCACTTTCATATGAATTTCTACACAGAAAATAAAACCTTGTTAGGATTTTGGTGGAATTACATTGAATATATTTATCATATAATTGGGAATAATAAATTTCTTTAGAATATAGAAACTTCCATCCCAAGAAAAATGGTATATGCCTTTGTTTATTAGATTTTCTTAACAAAACAATATTGAGATAAAATAATTGTTAGTGTATGGATCTTTCTCATGAATCATTGAATTTATTTCTGTTTTTTGATATTTTACAATACTGTTGTAAATATGTGTGTGTGTGTGTGTGTGTGTGTGTATTTTAATCGATAATGTTCCTTTATTCATTCCACAAACATTAACTGAGCATCTACTGTGAAAAGGAACATGTTCCAGACACCCCAGTAGTGAACAGAACAGACAAAAATCCCTGCCCTGGTGGAGGCTTCCCTTCATTTTTTATTTTATTTTATTTTATTTTGTCAATATACAATGTGGTTGTTTTTTGTGGCCAATTACTGAAACTGCCCTCCCTCCTCCCTTTCCCCCCTCCCTCCCAACAATGTCCTTTCTGTTTGCTTGTTGTATCAACTTCAAGGAATTGTAATTGTCGTGTCTTCTTCCCTCCCCCCACTCCCAGATTGCTTGTGTATTTATTTATTTATTTTTAGCTCCCACAAATAAGTGAGAACATGTGATATTTCTCTTTCTGTGCCTGACTTAATATAATTCTCTCTAGGTCCATCCATGTCATTGCAAATGGCAGTATTTCATTCTTTTTTATAGCAGAGTAGTATTCCATCATGTAGATATAGCACATTTTCCGTATCCACTCATCCGATGATGGACATTTGGGCTGGTTTCAACTCTTAGCTATGTAAAGAGTGCTGCAATGAACATTGGAGAACAAGTATACCTTTGACTTGATGATTTCCATTCCTCTGGGTATATTCCCAGCAGTGGGATAGCTGGGTCGTATGGTAGATCTATCTGCAATTGTTTGAGGAACCTCCATACCATTTTCCATAGAGGCTGCACCATTTTGCAGTCCCAACAACAATGCATGTGAGTTCCTTTTTCTCCACAACCTTGCCAGCATTTATCATTCACAGGCTTTTGGATATTAGCCATCCTAACTGGGGTGATATGGTATCTCAGTGTGGTTTTGATTTGTATTTGCCGAATGCTGAGTGATGTTAAGCTTTTTTTCATGTGTCTTTTGGCCATTCGTACATCTTCCTTTGAGAAATGCCTATTTAGCTCTTTTGCCCATTTTTAATTGGGTTACTTGTTTTTTGTGGTAAAGTTGTTTGAGTTCCTTGTATATTCTGGATATTAATCCTTTGTCAGATGTATATTTTGCAAATATTTTCTCCCACTTGTTGGTCTTTTAATTCTGTTAATTGTTTCCTTTGCTGTGCAGAAGCTTTTTAGTTTGATATAATCCCATTTGTTTATTTTTCCTTTGGTTGCCCTTGTTTTTGGGGTCATATTCATGAAGTCTGTGTCCAGTCCTACTACCTGAAGTGTTTCTTCTATGTTTTCTTTAATAAGTTTTATTGTGTCAGGGTGTATATTTAATTCTTTAATCCATTTTGAGTTGATTTTAGTATATGCTGAGAAGTATGGGTCTAGTTTCGTCCTCCTACATATTGATATCCAGTTATCCCAGCACCATTTGCTAAAGAGGCAGTCTCTTCCCCAGTGTATAGGCTTGGTGCCTTTGTCAAAGATTAGATGGCTGTAGGTGTGTGGGTTGATTTCTGGATTCTCTATTCTATTCCATTGATCAGTGTGTCTGTTTTTATGCCAGTACTACGCTGTTTTGGTTATTATAGCTTTGTAGTATAGTTTAAAGTCAGGTAGTGTTATGCCTCCAGCTTTATTTTTATTTATTTATTTATTTAGTCCTTTT